TATGCGATGCAGTACCTTTTGCATCGGGAAGACATCTCAAAGCGCTTCACAGGATTTACTGTCAAGTGTAGTGACCGTGGTGAACACGGCAGCCAATTTGCCAACATTCCATATACAGCCATGAAGCGAGTGACCAATTTTTATCTGAGGGGGATTGTTGGCCAGAACGCCAGGAGAGAGAAACTCCCTTCTTTTTTCCTAGAGTGTCACGGGATCTTTAACGTTCACCTGAACAGGAAGATGGGATTTTGGTTTAATGTCTGATTCAAAGGACGGCCGCTCTAAAAATGGAGAGCTCCATCCTCCCCCCTCCAGCACTGTGTTGGAGCATCAGCCTGCGTTGGCGCATATGTGATTTCAATGTCCCGACATGAGGCTCGAATCCACGAGCATCACTCGACTCCGAGGTGAGAGTGTTACCAACTGAGTCAGGCTGACACCCTTGAGCTAGGAAAGTTGAAAGGTGATTTGATTTAGGTGATAAGGGGATTTCAGAAGGATGATAGAGAGAAATGAACAAGATTGAGGCTTATTAAACCAGTTAAGAGTGAAATCAGAAAACATTTTGCACTTGAAAGGAACTGTGGAAAGTGGAATTCACGACCTCCAGCAGTTTCTAAACTAATTGAAATATTTAAGAGGGAGGCAGATTAATATTTGATGGGCTGAGGTATCTAAGGACATGGTGAAAGGGCAGGGAAATTGGATTAAGTTGTAGATCGGCTGTGATCTAGTAAAACAGTGAAGTAGGCTCCACTGGGTGTGAGAGAATATGTGAACACTTAAGTTCACACATTTTCTATCTCTCTCAAACACACACACGCACACTTACACACACAGTTTACACTGTTCACACACATACACACACACGGTTTACACGTTTTACACACAAATATACACTCACACACTTTCACTCTCACATACACACTCGTTCTTTCACACATACTTTCATGTACAGCTTCTCACACATACAACATTTTATCTCTCTTACGCATAGCAACACACGTGTGCACATTCACACAAGCATTTTCTCCCTCATACACATACCCTCTCACAAGCACATACAAACATACATGTAACACACGTGGAGTCCTGTAGCTCAGTGGTTAGAGCACTCGCCTCGCAAGCGAGAGACCTGGGTTTGATTCCGGCAGTTTTCTTACTCTATTCGCCTCTGTTTACCAGCAGTAAGTAGGAACCCGGTTGCTAGTCAATTGGCAGATCACTTTTCTGGGGGTAATAATTCCTTCAAAAAGAAATAATAAATTGGTCACTTCAATCCACGACTGTTTGTGAGACACTGCTGTGCGCAATTGGCTGCCCCGTTTTGCCCAAATATACAGTCAATTCACTTTACAGTATATTCTGTGACGATGTGATAAGGCGCTATATCAAATGCTAGGATTATTATTATTATTCTCACATGCAAAGAGGGAAAAACGCTCACAGCATCCTCACCTCCAGATAAAAAAACAGCTAAATACATTGAAGCATTATTAGTTTATGTGGATGCAGAGAACCTTGCCTCAGAGTTTGGTCATTGCAAGGTTTAAGACCATAAGATCACAAGATCGGTCTGAAGGAAGAAAGCCCTGTGACCCATCTGATCTCTTCCATCCAGAGCACATCCACCTTACCGTCCCCCCATCACTGCATCAAATATATTTCCAAAGGGTTTTAGTGTTGCCTCCCATGGACAGATTGGATATCAGGAAACACTGGTCACAGCACTGCCACCTGCCAGTGAGTGAGTAAAACTTGACCTAAACAGAATTCAGTGATTTGTGTTTCAACCTGGCTCAGTGGTAGCTCTCGCCTCCGAATCAGAAGGTTGTGGGTTCAAGCCCCACGTCAGGATTTGGATCAAATAGTCTAAGCTGATGCTCCAATGCAGTGCTGGGGGAGTGTTCCATGGTCGGCGGTGCTGTCCTCCGGATGAGACGTTAAACTGCCTATTCAGGTGAATTTTGAAGATCTCATGGCGCTATGTGAAAAGAGAACTGAGTCTTTCCTGGTGTTTCTCCTGGCCAACAATCCCCCAAATAAAATTGGGTCACTCAATTCCCGACTGTTTGTGGGACACTGCTGTGTGCAACCGGCTGTCGGGTTTCACCCAAAAAATACAAATTCAGTTCACTTTACAGTATATCCAGCAAAGAGTTTTGAGCCGTCTCAATGAGGTGATAAGGCGCTATATCAAATGCAAGGATTATTATTATTATTACTGTGAGTGGGGGCGGGGGGCACTGTCGGTTGACCTCATGCTTTACCTGGGAGAGACTCTATCCCTCCCTCCGCTTGGAACAAATGGTCTCAGACGAATGTAAGTGAACGCGACCTCACACAAGGGCTTTCACGTAGACTGGGAAAGCCTGAAACATGGGAGAAAGGACTTGGTCCATTGCCACAGCACGTGAGCATCACTGGTTGCGGGGGCTCACAGCTCAATAGGATTGTGGTGCGCTGTGCAGCTATGTTGACCTCAAAGGAGCTTGGAGCCTGAAACCCGATCCACCCGAAGCCCAACGCACAAACAAAGCTTTTACTGTTACTGTCATTGGACGCCAACAGATAGCCAACTTGTTTTTTTTTGGGTGGGGGGGGAGGGAGAGAAACAACTTACTGAGACGTTCATCTCGTGGTCAGTCCTGGAAAACAAAAGCACTCACTGGAAATCCCACAAAGGAAGTCAGCGCACTTAATCTTTTCCATGTTTCAATCTGTCTCCCCAATCAGGAAACAAAGAGGATATTGTTCCTCAATGCATCCCCTCACCCCTCCTCTCTCTCTTTTGGTACTAGGTAAATGGGTCTCATAATCTCCACTACACCTTATCTTCCAACATGCCCCCCTTCCCTCCTCCACACACACACACACCCTCCTCACCTCCCACATTAAAACAATGGCGCTTTGTTTAAAGGAATTTAGGAATCTGTAGCACATGGAGGAAAAGTCCATCTCATCTCAGTGTTTAACAATAATCCTTGCATTCGACACAGCACCTTTCACATCAAAAAATAGTCTCACAACACTTCAGCAGGTTTTACTGTAAAGAGTAGTGACTTGTGCTTTTTTGTAGGGCAATGCAGTACCCAATTTGTGCACAGCAATATAATAATAATGATAGTAATAATCCTTGCATTTGATATAGCGCCTTATCACGTCTTCTAGACATCTCAAAGCGCTTCACAGGATATACTGTAATGTGAATTAACTGTATATTTTGTGAGCGAAACACAGCAGCCAATTGAACGCAGCAGTGTCCCACAAACAGTCATGGACAGAGGCGTGTGGAGTAAGGAAGCTTGCCTAAGGTTTCGCCCTGCCCGGGTATCGAACCTGGGTCCTCTCACTTTGCGAGGCGGGTGCTCTCGCCACTATGCTCTGAACTCCATTCCTCTTGCTGATTGTAGGCACAACATTGAAGAAAGAATTTGTTTTGGGATCAATATCTGAAACAGAGAAATGTGTTGAGAGTGCGTGGGGAGAAAAAAATAGGAGAATGGGCCTTAATAATAATAATCCTTGCATTTGATGCAGCGCCTTATCACGTCATTGAAACTTCTCAAAGTGCTTCACAGAATATATTGTAAAGTGAATTGACTGTGTGTTCTGTAGGCAAAAGGGAATCCCTTTTCAAAGGGCCAGAACGATAGGCCATTTCTTTGATTCTCCAAAAATTCAGCCCAATCTTCTCTCATCGGTCACAGGGCTAAGGCTACGAGGAAATCCGGGGATACTCAAAACGTACCTTGAGGCCTGTCAACTTCAGTGATCACATTGACCCAATGGAACTGTTTCTACTGCAGTGTAGGGCTGTTTTCAGTAAGAAGTAGGAATGAAGGCTTGGAGTGTGAAGATCAATGGGCCTTGTTCTGCACATCTGGTTTCAGATTATTTTGCTTCTGGTGGTTTCTGGATCCCCTGCAGCTGGTTCTGTCTCCTGAACTGTGACCCTCGAGATTACCTCCAACCCCCCTGCTCCATCACCCACTTCCTTCACTCCGCCCCAGGCAAGGTTAGTGTAAACATCCTACACTCTCAGCTGTGACTAGTGGAAAAGCTGAGAGGAAGGTGTTTGCTCTCACCGGCTTGGATAACAACACCAACAACAGCTTGCGTTTATACATCGGCCTTCGTTTGGGGTAGCGTCCCGGAGCGCATCATAATGGCAGAATTTGGGGGGAGAGATGACGTAGACGCAGTCGAAGATCTTCAGGGGTGAGCTGAAGATGGGAAAAGACGAGCACGAGGTGAAGGGATTGAGGCAAGGTGTTCCAGAGGGTCGGGGTAGTGGCCAAAAGCACGGCCATGGATGGTGAAGTGGAGGAGAGGTTGAGGGGCGCGCAGGCCGTTGGAGCCGGCCGAGCGAAGGGGAGGAGTGTAAGCAGGTTGGAGAGCTTAATCAACCATCTCGAAGGAGATATATGCCTCAATGGCTTGGGCTGGTGGGAACTCTTTGAATCTACCACATGGACACTCTACCCCAGTGTGTGGGCTGTGCTGTCTACCTGCAGGCTCAGGCGCTGCCACGGAATTCAGCAGCTGAACTGCTTCACTAAGAGGTGTGAATCTAAGCGCGGAGTGGATTCTCCTCCTTGTATTTCACACCTCAGGAACAGGGGGATGAGGAGGCCATTCAGCCCATCGAGCCTGTTCCATCAGTTTATTGGCAAACCTTCTATATCTCTTAATTTGCTTTGCTCTTTTCTCACCACTCTTAACCCCCTTGTGTATGCATGTGGATATGGGACTGAAAGGATTGATTACTCTTTAAAAGAGTCAGTGTGGACACAATGGGTCGAATGTCTTTTGTCTATGTCTTTGTATGTATCTATCTTTGTATGTATGCATGTACGTATGTATGTATGTATGTACGTATGTACGTATGTATGTATGTATGTATGTATATATGTATATATCTATGTGTCTGTCTGTCTAACTAAATTTCTCTCTCACCATCCATCCATCTATTTGGTATCTCACCATCCATCCACAAGTGGTGTTGCAGTGAAATTGGTAATAAAGTTATTTATTCTTAAACATGTCTGGACGTCAGCCTCTGTTTCTTGGAACACTGTAAAACATGTCACAATATTTCTCCTCTTCAGTGGTAATAATAATACTCCTCCTCATGAGGCGCTACACCAAATGCAAGAATTATTATTATTTATTATAAGTGGCTGGTCCTGTCTTTGAGGCGTCCTCCCGATGTGACAGGCGCTACATAATAATGATAATAATAATAATAATTCTTGTATTCAGTATAGGGCATCCTGCCACTCAACTCCTATTAACCCTGCAAGTCAAAGCCCTAAACGCAGTGTCCCACAAACATAAATGCAAATTGTTGTTGCCATTATTACAAAACTTCGGGAGACATTTCAATGTGACGAGTTACTCTGAACGCACACAAAGCAAAGCTCTGTGAAATTGCTCTTCGGCTCCTGGCATTGATCGAGCCAAAACCTGCAGGATATTAACGCAGCCTCGGATTGCAATGGCACATTCTCCAGATGTACGCACCACCAACACAGGCCCTCTTTAATCACCCGCGTGCAAGACCTTTTACATTCCATCACGGCCCTTAACCAATTCGCTTTTATATGTCTAAAGAGAAGTTAATCAACACGGCATTAACGGCTTTTCCATGCTCACTGAGTTCCGAGGTGAAGGGCGAAGGTGTGGAATGTCACCTCAGTTGAAAGGAGCAGCGGGGGAATAATTCAGGAAGTAAGTCTCCAGGCAACGCTTATGTTGGGCTTTGAGAGTCTGTGGGCTGTAGGAGGAAGGGAAGCTGAGGGGACTGGTAGGTGGGGATTACTCTCCAGTTGATCCTGGGGGAAGCTGATTTAGGAAGGGAGAACATGCAATGACGACAACAACTTGCATTTATATAGCGCTCTTCACGCAGAGTAATGTCGTAGAGCGCTTAAGCAGTACGTATCCGTCGCAAAGCTGTGAGGGAGGTGGCAGAATGTGCCTCCTGAATGATATACTTATCTGAAGCTTGACAAACACCAGAGTGGGAAGCATTTAGAAGCGATCACCATAACAATCACAACACTTGGATAATACAGTACAAATATACGCTTAGAAATGCCGTTCTGCATGTCAGGAGGACGTCCCAAGGTGCTGAACAGTCTAGGGTTATTATAATAATAATCAAATAATAATCCTTGCATTTGATATAGCGCTTCATCACGGAGTTGAGACGTCTCAATGCGCTTCGCAGAATATATTGTAAAGTGTATTTCGTGCGCAAAACGTGGCAGCCAATTTCGCACAGCAACAACAAGATTCCATTTATTGAGCGCCTTTCACGTCGGGAGGACGTCCCAAGGCACTGTACAGTCGGGTCAGGACCCGAGCAGGGGGGAAATGGTCAGCGTGAGGGGAGGGAAGGGAGGGAGCGAGGAGGGGGTAGAGAGTCGAGAGGGGAGCTGAAGGCACGGTCAAAGAGAAAGGTCTTGAGACCGGCCTTGAAGGAGGAAAGGGAGGAGGAGGCGAAGGCACTGGGGGATGGAGTTCCAGAGCCTAGGGGCTGAGAGGCTGAAGGCCCGGCCACCGATGGTAGGGCGGTTGGGGCGGGGGATGTGGAGCAGACCGGAGCCAGAGGAACGGAGGGTACGGGCAGGTAGGTAGGGGGATAGTAGGTCGGAGAGGTAGGAGGGAGCAAGGCCGTGAATGGCCTTGTAGGTGAGGATGAGGATCTTGAATTCGATCCTCTGGGGGATGGGGAGCCAGTGGAGGCGAGCGAGGGTGGGAGTGATGTGGTCGAAGCCTGGTGCGGGACAGTACACGAGCTGCAGAGTTCTGAATGACCTGCAGCTTGTGGAGGGAGGTGCCGGGAAGGCCGGCGAGGAGAGAGTTCCCATAGTCCAGCCTTGAGGTGATAAAGGCGTGGACCAGAGTTTCAGCAGCGTGAGGGGTGAGGTAGTGCCGTAGTCTGGCGATGTTCCGGAGGTGATGGAAGGCGGTGCCAGTTGTGGTCGGATATGAGGGAGAAAGGACAGCTCAGGGTCGAACAGAACCCCGAGGTTCCTGACTGGCTTTGAGAGGTGGAGAGTGCAGCCTTGGATGCTGATGCTGTCAGCGCCTGAGGTGCGGAGGCGCTGACGTGAGCCAATCAGGAGGGCCTCAGTTTTGCGCACGTTGAGCTGAAGAAAGTTGTCTCTCGTCCAGGACTCGATGTCGGACAGGCAGCTGTCAGGACATCGGTGGTCGTGGAGTTGAGGGTAGAGGAGGAAAGGTAGAGTTGGGTGTCATCCGCATACATGTGGAAGTTAACCCCATGTCTGCGGATGATGTCACCAAGGGGGAGCATATAGAGGGTGAAGAGGAGGGGACCGAGGACAGAGCCCTGAGGGACACCGCACGAGACAGTGCGGGGGCTGGAGGAAAAACCATTCGTGGAGACAAAGTGAAGACGGTGGGAGAGGTACGACCTAAACCACTCAAGGACAGGGCCTTGAAGGTTTAGGTGGGAGGACAAGCGGTGGAGGAGGATAGCATGGTCGACCGTATCGAATGCTGCCGATAGGTCGAGGAGGACGAGGAGGCAGAGGGAGCCCTGGTCACAGATGGTCAGGATGTCATTGGTGACCTTGACCAGGGCAGTTTCTGTGCTATGGGCAGCACGGAAACCCGACTGAAGGGGTTCGAATAATGAATGGTGGAGAGGAAAGAGCGCAGCTGGGAGGCGACAACTTATTCCAGGACCTTGGACAGGAAGGGGAGGTTGGAGATGGGCCGGTAGCTTGATAGCTGCGACGCATCAAGGGAGGGTTTTTTCAAGGTGGGAGTGATGGTGGCAGTTTTTAAGGGAATGGGAACAGAGCCAGAGGAGAGGGACAGGTTGACGATGTCTGTGATATGTGGGGCAAGGAGGTGGAGCTGGGAGATAAGGAGTGGAGTGGGGATGGGGTCAAGGGAGCAGGTGGTGGGTTTCAGGGATAGGATGAGTTTGGTGACAGAGGATGGGGAAACGGGTATGAAAGTGTGTAGGGGAGGATGGGTAGGAGTCGGAGTGTGGGAGGGTGGGTGGATGTTGGAGGGGAAGTGACCGCGGAGCGAATTCCCTTGATTTTGGATTCAAGGAAATCCAGCATCTCCTCGCAGTGAAGGTTGGAGGAGATGACCTGCGCGGGGTGGCAGGGGGGACGGAGGAGTTGGGATGTGGTAGAGAACAGTAGCCTCGGGTTGTCCTTCGTCTCCAGGATTATCCTGGAGAAGAAGGACAATTTGGCCGAGGCTAGAGTGGAGCGGTAGATTTTGAGGAGGTCCAGCCAGTTTCTCACAAACACTCATGGATTGAGTGACCGAATTTTTTTTTGAGGGATTATTATCCATGCCCCAGAAAGTGATCCACAAAATCGACTAGCAACCAGGTTCCTACTTACTGCTAGGTAAACAGAGGGGTGTGGAGTAAGGAAACTTGCCTTAGGTTTCACCCTGGCCGGGAATCAAACCCGGGTCCTCTCGCTTGCTCTAACCAAGAGGAGGGTTTGAGACAGAGAGTTCCAGAGGTTTGGGTTGTAGTGGCTACAGGCCTGACTTCTGATTGTGGAGAAGAGAGGACCAGTGACATCCAGAGATGAAAATAGCACCAGTTGAACCCAGCTGAGCCCTGAGAGAGAGACACCAGAGGATCCTCTCCAGATATTGGAGGGTTATTTCCTGTGTTGATCTTTATAGAGTTAAAAAGTTATTGAGGGAAAGAAAAGAAATGTTTGGTACAAAGTAGAATAATGGACCTGATGTGAGAATTCAGAGCAGAGGAGACAGGGAGTCTAAGAATGTTGTCAGATTGCAACATAGTAAGTTTCTGTCAGACGCAGGTCATTGGTCTATATCTAATCTACCCACCCAAACTTCCCAAAGGATTCCTACAAATGATTGCAATACAAGATTGGCTGAAGAAAGCCCTTTGGCTCCCATTTTAGGAACACAGGAAATGCTGGATGAAAAAAGACCAAGGTCCATCCAGTCTGCCTTCCACCCTGGCAGTCGCTTGCACGTGTCATTTCCTGAACTAAAATAGTAATAGTATTCCTGGCATTTGATATAGTGCCTTATCAGGTCACTGAGACGTCTCAAAGCGCATCGCAGAATATATGGTAAAGTGAATTGATTTCACTGTGTAGGTTGTGGGTAAAACCCGGCAGCCAATTACACACAGCAATGTCCCATAAACATTCGTGGAATTGAGTGACCAATTTTTTTTTGAGGGCATTATTACCCACCGAAAAAGCGATCTGCCAATCGACTAACAACTGGGTTCCTACTTATCGCGAGGTAAACAGGCATATGGAATAAGGAAACTTGTCTAAGGTTTTGCCCCACCCGGGAATTGACTTGTCCTGATTTACATACACTATCTAGTCATTACTTGATCTCATCCTTCCAGATACCAACCCTACCATTCATTGGTTTCCCTCTAGATAAAGAAATATTTCCCGGTGTCTCTCCTGAAATTGTCCTTCACAAACCTAGAACTTGTGCCCTCGTGTTATCCCACTTTTTTGTATCTGCAACAGCTCTTATCAAAGTTAAAAAGCCCCAGCATTTCTAATCATTGCACATAATAATAATAATCCTTGCATTTGATATAGCGCCTTATCACATCATTAGGACGTCCCAAAGCACTTCACAGAATATATTGCGAAGTGGACTGTGTCTTTTGCGGGCCAATTGCACACAGCAGTGTCCCACAAACAGTCAGGGATTGAGTGACCACATTTTTCCGGGGGGTGGGTGGTGCGGGAGGGAGGAACTATTACCTCCAGAAATCAACTAACAACCAGCTTCCTACTTACTGATTGGTAAACAGAGGCGTGTGGAGTAAGGAAACTTGCCAGGGTTTCGCCCTGCCCGGGAATTGTACCCAGGTCCTCTTGCTTGCGAGGAAAACACGCTACCTACTACGGCATGGAACTCCACTCCCAATCCTTTTAAATATTGGGCACCTGTTCACCTTCTTGAAATCCTGTCTGGGGTTTGTGTAGGGTTCTGAGCATCGTAATACTCTTGTCTGACAATTTAGTT